ACCCTAAAAAGTCTGTTACTGCCTTGAAATCAGCTCAGATACCCTTTTCTCTTCAAAACAGTGTTTCTATGAAGGAGACTGAGAACTGACTTGGTCTATTTCCAGAGTTAGGCTAGGACTACACTACCCGCCTGAATCGGCGGGTAGAAATCGACCTCTCGGGGATCGATTAATCGCGTCCCGTTGGGACGCGACAATCGATCCCCGAATCGACGCTCTTACTCCACCAGCGGAGGTGGGAGAAAGCGCCATCGACAGGAAGCCGCAAAAGTAGATTTTGCCGCCGTCCTCACTGCGGGGTAAGTCGGCCGCGATACGTCGAATTCAGCTACGCTATTCACGTAGCTGAATTTGCATATCTTAAATCGACTCCCCCCGTAGTGTAGATGTACCTTTAGACATAAAATAGTGACTTAACGACAGTGACAGGCAGTCAACACACTGTTTATTTCCACTAAGAAGCTCTATTTAATTTGACATCCCAGAGGGGTCTATGATCTAAGGTGACAACTAAGAGGTAGGTTTGAAAATGCTAAAGATGTGTAAGAGGGATCTTAGAGTCTAAAGGGGCAGAGAAATTCCTTCAAGTACCTTTCAGGATCGTGGCCCAGGTGTTGGGTTCCCAGCCCCCTTCAGTTCCTGACACCCTCCTTCAGAACAGTGACTGGCTTTTGTCACAACTGATTTTCTAATACTTCAGACTGGACCCTACAACCCACAGCTCTGAACTCTCAGCAGGGTCCTGGTCCGCCCCTTCACATGAAAGCAATCGCTATAAACAGGGAGGGGAACAGCCCTGGCAGAAACGAGGGGTGGGGTCTCTCTCTACAGGTTAAACATCAAATATAGAATTAAAGGAACTAGAGCTCACCACGACACAAGTTTGTACTTAAAATAAAATCCTTTAATTTGTAGTTCAGGAGAGGGATAAAATTGTACAAAACCCCAAACCCTAATACAAAGCATCGCACAGTCCCTGCTCCTCCAGGGAGACACTCAGAGCACAGAACAGCTCCTGGCAGCCCAGGAATGGGCTCCCGAACATTTGCACCCAGACCAGTGGCTTCGCTAGGTGGGCTGAGTGGAATCGATGGAACAGAGTCCTAGTGTTACTGGAGTTGGTGGCTGGTTTCAGGAATCTCTGGGGCTGGTCCCCTCGCTCTCTCCTCCTGTCTCCATCTTCTCGCTGCTCCCCGGCTCCTTTCCCTCCGTGGCCAGGTTTCCTTCTCCTGCCTTCACGCCCTGGCAGACGGTGACGGGAATGGCTCTCCCTTCTGCAGCTGGCAGGGCCAGATGTGGCACCTCGATGCAGAGCTGCCCATCCTGGGACAGGGAGCAGAGCACGGCCTCCACATTCACGTCTTCCGGCAGGAGAGTTTCTCTGCGGATCTCCCTGTATTCGTGGGAGCAGGCTCCAGCCTCCGACGCCGTTTTCTTCTCCTGCTTCCCCGTCACCGTCAGCTTCCTCCCGTCCACTCTCACCATCAGCTCAGCTGGGGAGAAGCCGCTCACGTCCATGGAGAGCTGGAACTTGTCCTTCTCCTGCGCCTGGGAGCCGGGCTCCTTCCCAGCCCCCTCCGCCAGGGACCGGCTGCTCGGCCTCGGCCTCCTCCCCTCGCCCTCCCCGCAGAGAAGGGGAGAAGCCAGAAGGAGGGAGTGTCTCAGTCGCTCCATCTCCTCCAGGTGCGTCTGCACGTCCCCCACCAGCTGGGCCAAGAGGCTGTGGGGCCCCGGCCCCAGGAGCCTGGGCACTGGGGCGCTGCTGCCAAGCCACACTCGGAGCGGGAGCATCCTGCCCCCCCGGGGCCTGGAGCCGCTGGGCCGAGTTCAGCTGCTGAGACGCTGCTGCTGGAGCCGCCTCTGCCTGACTCCCTGCCCGGCTGCTGCTCACTGGCTGCGGCAGCCCCCGCGCCGCCTTTTATAGCCTGCTGGGGCCGCGCCGGGCCCTTCGGGAACCTTCCCGCTGCTGGGGGGCGGGGCCTGGCGCTGCTGTTGAAGGGCTCTGCTCGGGAGGGGCGGGGCTGGGGGCGGGGCTTGGCTCTGCCCGGGAGGGGCGGGGC